TGCATGGGATCTGCACCTGGGAGGCCTGCAAGAGCTGTTGGGGACCTGCTGGTGGGGGGCCAGCAGAGGTGATCGGTCGTGTCACCTCTGCCTATGTCTTAGTATCTCTCCTGTGCCTAGGGGATGCAGTGCAGACTTGCCCAGCTGTCTGACCATGGGACCATGACTGGGATGTGTATTCAAAGCAGAAGAAAGTTCCACTATTTGGTTCCTTTGTCCAGGAACTCTATACTGAGAGAGGGATGGTGGGGAACTTACAATTGCTTCACACTTAACTAGGCAGTTTTCACTCTCTCTAAATTGATTTGTCATTTCCCCCCTGAACTCAAGAGGAGGGCAAAGATCCTTGGTAAGGACCTCAGGCCAGAGGACTCATGAGGCCAGGCGACGAAGGCGTCCCGCTTGCCAGCCACTCTCCCTGCTCCTAGCTCAGATGGCAGAGAAACATAGAGACCTTAGTGGGTTGAGCTTAATTTCTGGAGGAAGGGTTTGATGATTTTTCCAAAATAACAACAGTGGCGCACATTATCCTTCTGACACCAACACCAATTGAGATCTGAGAATCCAGAGCCAGAACGGATCTTGTAATTCTGGTATTTGGAGAGAGAGAGTACAGTGGGGATGGCGCTTGTCTTGCATACATACAGTGGAGCTGGGTCCCATCCTTGGCACCCATCAGAGCAATGCCATGAGTGATCCTTGAGGTGATGCTGTCAGGTATACCACACCCTACCCCCCAAATAAAAAACCAATATGGCTATTTTGATATTTGAGCTTGATTCTCATTTCTTTCTGGGGTAATTCATCCTTTTAACTATCAAGAATCAGAATGTACTAGTCTGTGTTGTAACTGCAGACCGACCAATGAGTAATTCACCTATTTCCTACCTATATGCATGAACATGCAGTGACATATGGTCATGCTTTTTCTTCTTTTTATGGGGAGTGGGAGCCACACCCAGCTATGCTCAGGAATTACTCCTGGATCTGCACTCAGGAATCACTCCTGCGGTGCTCAGGGCCCCCTATGGGATGCTGGGGACTGAATCTGGGTTGGCGGTGTACAAGGCAAGCACCTTACCCACTGTACTATCACTCTAGCCCCCAACAAATGGTCATTCTTTTACTTTTTGTGTGTGTGTGTGGGGGGGGTGGGAAGAGAAGGGCACACTTGGTGATACTCAGGACTTATTCCTAGCTCTGTGTTCAGGAATTACTCCTGGCAGTGCTCAGAAGACCATGTGAGCTGCCAAGGATGGAACCTGGGTTAGCCACGTGCAAGGCAAACACCCTGCTTGCTGTATTACCAGTCCTAAAATAGTCATTCTTTTTGTGTGTGTATGTATGTATTTTAATACAACCCCATAAACATCCCTGAACTTAATTTTTTGGGGGGAGGGGGCGCATACCCAGTAATATTAGAGGATGGAACCCGGGTTTGAAATGTGCAAGGTAAACACCATACCACTGTACCATCTCTCTAGCCCCCAAAATTCTTTTTTGAAAGAAAAATTCTGAAAGAGATTAAGTTAGATGTTCAGAAAAACAGCTTTCTCATCACACTTAGAGAAAAAGAGTAGTTGTGTTTGTGAATAATTGGTGGCATGGACTTGTCCAAGTGCTCTCAATAGCATGCTCCCCAGAGCAGTGGCAGGTCTGGGGAGAGACTGGGGTACGTGTACGATAAGTCACTCCTGCAGGCTCTTTTTCTGGGTGCAAAGCTATTGATCAAAAAGGAAAAGAATTTTGACTACTGTACTCAGCTGAGGAAAAATCTGAGGAAATACTGAGAAAAGCAGTGAATAAGAAGAAGAGCCAGGCTCCACTGTATGCTTAATTTGTATCTTGGATGGTTTATTTTACTTTTCTCTTTGGCTCCATCTCTCAGCCTGAAAAATGAGGTCACTGTCACCCACTTCAGGAAAGAGCATTTTGGGCTTCTTTGGATAGAGGCATTGATCCACTGGGAACACAAAGGGACCTGCTCTTCAGCCTGCCTGCTCACATTCTGTTCTGGGCGGGGGGCTAGGCCCAGGGATTACTCCTGAAAGCTCTTGGAGGACTGCATGGGGTGCTTGGAGTTGAACCTGGCTTGGCTTCATGCAAGGCAAGAACTCTGCCCACTGCTCAATCTTTCTGTCCATTCTTTTTTTTTTTTTTGGGGGGGGGGGGCACACCTCTGGGTACTCTGGGTTTACTTCTTGATTTGCACTCAGGGTTACTCCTGGCTAGGATACGGGAAACATGTAGTGCGAAGGATCAAACCCAGGTCAGCTGTATGCAAGGCAAGCGCCATACCCACTGTACTATCTTTTTGGCCCTCCCTCTGCTCACATTCTCCCTGATCCAAACTGTGCCCATCTCTCTGAAAGCCTGTCAACTTCTATACATTAAGTCCACCCACTTTGTTTCTTCCGTTTCAATGGTGGACCCAAGCCACAGTGAATGCTCAGAAAGTCACATGGTCACCTACTTCTAATGATTATGAGGAAGAGGATATAATGCCAATTCCTATGTTTTGCTGTTGTTGCTGTTGTTTTGGCTTTTGGAGTCACGCCCAGTGATGATCGGGGGTTACTGCTGGCTCTGCACTGAGGGGTCACTCCTGGAGGTTCTCTGGGGACCATACGGGGTACCGGGACCAAAGCCAGGTCAGCCACGTGCAAGGCAAACACCCTACCCCTGTACTATTGCTCTGTCCCTCCCCCCCACCTTTAAAAAAAAAAAAAGCTTTGGAGCTAAAGTGCATTCATCTGATCCTCCTATTAACTGGGGTGGCAGGGGGTAGGGACAGGTTATCTGCACAGAAGCTGATGTTCAGAGAAGTTAAACGATTTACCTGCAAGCAACATAACCAAGACTTGTGCAAAGTTATTTTTATTCCAGATCCACCGCTCATGTCCTCAACCTGCCTTGGGCCAGAACTTGCTTCACACTTAGCAAACTAAGGATTCTTTTCTCCAGTGCCATTTTGGTCAAGGTTAAATAAAGACAGTTTTCTCCAACATAGATAGTAAATTGATAATGAGGTGATTTGTAACAAATGATTAACTGGCCATTGCTTGGGGATCCCAGCCCTCTACCCTTCCTATGTTTCAAAAGTTAAAAGGTGCTGGGTGAAGGTGGAAGTGATACCACTTTCCTTAAAGAGAGAGGAGCTGCAGCCCCACCCCCGCCCCATCAGTGGCTCTGCAGACAGATGTCAGAGAGGATCCCTCTTCCTACCACCCAGTTACTCTGAAGGGATGATAACAGCCAATGCGGGGTTAAAAAGAGGCAGTGAACCCCCAGTTAATGAGTAGGAATTCAGCAGGCAGTGTAAGATAAATGGAGCTCTCTCTGCTTCTGCTAGAGTCAGCATGAACTGCGGCCCTGCGGCTTGTTTGTGGCAAATGGAGTGCGCGAAATATCAAAGGGCAGTGATCCAGAAGAAGACCGACTTTGACAAATTTTAAATTGGCCAGAAAGAAAACCAGCAAAAAAAAAAAAAGGGAAAGAAAAGAAAAAGAAAAAAAAAGAAAAAAGAGAAAGAAAAAAAAAGAGAGAAAGAGAAAGAGAGATAGAGAGAAAATTATGCAACTCGTGTTCTGCAATTGTGCCACTGCTGCCTTTGTACAGAATTAGTGGTAAAAACAGCAGCAGCGCTGGCTGGATGCTGGGAGCAATTATGAGCCATCTAAGTGAGATGCTTATCAGTGGCTGAAGCTTTTAGAGCTCTCTCAATGTACAGTTGTGAGTGACTTGCTCTTGAGCCGCAGTTACTTTAATTAAAGTGTATGGGGTTGGTCAGAAGTAATTATCCTGTTTGGAGAAGAAAGAGGAGAAAAAAAACCCCACCTCAACAGTTCTGGGTGGCAATAGATTTTATAAACAACTTTACCAATTTCTTGTGCGTGTGTATATATGTGCGCGCGCGGGCGCATTTCCCATAAAAGGATTGGGCTGCTGGTGGGTTAGTGATTGGTGGTTGTTAACTAATGGCAAGAAGTGGGGCATAGACAGGGTACTTCATACCCAGGTCACAAGGCATCTGGTCACAGGATGTGCGGCCTCCTCTGTGCAGGCAGGCATAGGAATTTTGACTCAGGATGGCCGAGGAGAGAGAATCCACACATGGGTCTTTGTTAATTAAACAATTATGTTATTTAAATTAAATTATGTTATTTGTAACATAATAAGGGAGCTACCATCTATCTTACTCTTTCCACTCACTGAGATTCATTACCTTTTAAAGACATTCTCTGTTCCTACAGAAAAGCAAAACAAATCAACAGACAAAAGAATCTCAAGCAATTATCTTCACTTAGCATAGCTAAGTGGGAATGCTTTAAAAGAATCCGAGAGTCTTCCAAACTCTGGACAAAACACAGGGTTCTGATGCTTTCCGTCCTGTGTTCACATCACAAATGTCTTCCAAAACTCTGAAAACAAATGCGCACTAGAGTAATGGCTGGGTACCTCATGCACGGAGGCTCCAGGCGCACCGCTGCCCGGCCCGTTTAGAAGCCACAGTGCACAATCTTCACTTCATTTCGCTAGCTCAGATAGCCCTGGGACAAGGCCTGAGTAGGTCTCCAGCTTTTCTAGTCCATGACACACGTTCTCCCATCTCTCCAAAACAAGGCGGGCTTGCCTAGCCAGGAAAGCGGAATCAGGACATTGAAGTCTAGCATATTCTCTGCCTGTTAGCTTACCCCCAACAACTTCTACCTTATCATTCTTTACAAGGACATCCACGAGCATAGAAAGATGAGCTACTTGAGTTATACAGAAATATCAGAAGAAAAATCGACTGACTTTTGCTTTAGTAGGACCCACTTTCCCTCTTATTACACACACTATTTCATTCTACCAGGGTTCTTACCATATAGAGGACAGTAAATAAAGATTATCATGAATTTGATCAAATGCTTCAGTGCCTCCTCCCCTAGCCTATGAATGCACTCATTACAAATCAGCTGAATGGCTCATTGATTTGCCAGGAGGACAAGCAGACATACCCAATCGCTCAGCCAAGTGGATATAGACTGGGTCCACCCGACGCATGGTTTTCACCAGATCCTTTTTGCGGAATTTGATTTCTACTGTCCCTTCAGGCTCCAGAACTGATCCCCTGGATCAGAGAGAAAGAAACAAAACAGAAATAGAGGTTACTTTAAAAGGAAAGAGACAACAGAATGAGGCCAGTTACAATCTAGGGACCAGGAAATAGCTTCATTACGGTTTGGCCCACCCGTGGTTCATGGAAGCAATCCCAGGGAGAGAAGCAGGCACCAGAGATGAGTCTAAGTGAGGTATGAAGACGGTCTGGCAAAAAGCAGCTAAAATGACTTTCATTACCACACCAGTCTACTTTCACCTCAAAGGGAGAATACAGATTCTACTGGCTTCAGCTGATAAGGGTGACAGGAATTCCATTGGTTTCCAGCGTTCATGTATTTATTTAGGTTTTGGGATCCCCATTTGGGTGTGCTCTGGGGCTATCCCAACTCTGAGCTCAGGGGCAGCTCTGAGCAGTGCTGGGGTATCATGCAGTACCCATGATTAAACCTGGGCCCCCTGCATGCAAAGCATGTGCTAAGCTGGATGAACTCTCTCTCTCTCTCTCTCCCCCCCCCCCCTTTTGTCCAGCATTTATAGATAACGTTGCAGATAACAGTAGTGAAAAAACCACCTCCAGCACTGGTGTTGGTGTTGTACAAGGTCACATATGCCAGTAAGACACACAGCTACCAGTCTGCTGGTAAAATTCAGACACACCAGACCAGATCAAGCAGCAGATAAAACACTGTATACTCCCATGGAAAGGTCATAGATCTCAGTGTTACTTCTAGTGTATTCTAATGGATTAGCAGGAATCACAACACCCTAAATAACTTAAAAATTATATACTGAAAAACTTACTGTTAGTACTTTGTACATGGCTCTGTTCTAAGACCTTACATACAAAGCTTAATCCTATGCTTGAAGGTGGGTTGCCAAAGGGACACTCTGGTGGAGGGTATGGTACTGGACCACTGTCTGCATGAAATCCTATCATTTTTAATATTGTAAATCATGATGCCTAAAGTTAAAAAACCAAACACAATCCAATGCCCAGTTCATAGCCACCATGAAGTATTCCCATTTTTCCCCCTTTGTATTTTGAACCACTCCTGATTCTATGCTCAGACCACTCCTGGTGTGGCTCAAGGGACCATAGGGGATGCCAGGGATGGAACCTGGGTCAGCGGTGTACAAAGCTAGTGCCCTAACCACTCTACTCTCTCCAACCGAATGTATTTCTCATTTTATAGATGAGAAATCTAAAGTACAGGAAGTAAAGAGACTTATCCAAGTCTAATGTGAGACAGATCTATATTTAAATCAGTAATAATGTTTCAGAGTCAACAGATCTATCAAAGGGATAGATGAGGGCAATAAAAAGTTAGTCACTAATTATAAATTCTGCCTTTGTGAATTCTCAGTGAACTTCAGGCCACTCCTAAGTATGACACAGTTTTGACACAGGTGCTCTAAAAATGATTAAATGTAGAAATTAGTATGAAAAATGTTAAGGAAATTTGTTGTAAAATTTACCTACTTTGGAAAGGGTTAAAAGAAGCTTATGAAAAGAAGTTAGGGGCTGGAGCAATAACATTTGCCTTGCATGTAGCTGACCTGGGTTTGATTCATGACACCCCATATGGTCCCCTGATTCCCACTAGGAGTGATCCTTGAATGCACAAACAGCAGTTCAGCCCTAAACACTGCTGGGTGTGGCCCAAAAACAAACAAAAAAATATTCCATTTATGGGGCTAGAAAGACAGTGCAGCAGGTGGGGTGTTTGCCTTGCATATAGTCGACCTGGGTTCGATTGCTTGGAACCCCGTAAGGCCCTCCAGCACCACCAGGAGTGATCCTTGAGCAGAGTCAGACATAAGCCCTAAACATCACTGGATGTGGTCCAAAAGCAAAATAAATAAATAAATAAATTAATTAAAAAAAAAAAAGAAAGAAAGGTGCTTTGATCTATGTTATTCATTACTTCCAAGTACCTCCTCCCCAACGGAAGTTAGATTTTTTTCCTGTAGGTCTTTGAGTGCTGCAAATAACTGTGGTCCTCAAGCTCCTTGAATACCAGAGAGAGAGACACTGGACAACTGGACACTAAGGGAGAAACCTGGTACAGTGGTACAGATTTTGGGCAGCATGGGTATGCAACAGCAACCGAGCTTGCTCCACAGACAACACAGCAGTCCAGGAGAGTGAGGACTCCTCTAAATCAGACTTCTCAGAACAGCAGAAAGGAGGGAAGACTGATTGTGCAGGTTCCTGGGTCAGGGCAAATCATGGTAAAGGAAAGTGGGAACAGGAATCACACTGGGAAAGCGTGACACCAGCCCGGTTTCCTTCTTGTGCCAGCAGATGCCAATTTATGGGCAGCTTCTGATGGAATTCTCTTGGTTCTCATCCCCCACCCCCACCTTGACTCCTGGGGGAAACTGAGAGCTAGAGGGCACCTGGCAGAGGTGGGTGGGGATGGGGAAGGAGAGAAGTGCTACCTGCTTTCTCGGTCGGCGTACATCTCCATGTGCCGGGGGTTGATGGTGGGGTCGATCACCACCCAGGAGCCACCGCGCAGTTCAGCCTGTGGAGGAATGTAAACCATCACGGGCTGAGAGCACTCCCGTAGGCCGTCTACAATGTAAGCGCCAAACTTCAGCACCTGGTCGTACATGTCTGGGGAGAATAAGAAGAGTAAGGGATCATGAAATGTCCTACCCACAGCAGTGCTTCTGATAGTGTGGCTCTGGAGGTAACAGGCATGAGAAGAGCACAGCCACCTGGGGCATGCTGTCTGACCAACCCCAAGACTCAAGCTTCACCTTTAACTGCCCTGGGACTCTGGGGCATCTTCACCAGCATGAGACCAGTGCAATGCCTTCACCAGTTACGCTGCGCGAGCCCTGCAAATAGCACATCCATTTTATATCCTCCCTGAACTTCTGTGCTCAGGTCTCACCACATTAATTCACACTTGCTCTACAAACGTTGAATATTTTTCATGTCAATATGTGATCTCTCTCACTACATTAAGTTTTCTGAAGGAACTATTGAAGCTCTCTTTTTTCAATTCTTCTCAGTATACTTAGCATATGATAAGCTCTTAAAGTGTGCAGCTAATGGAAATGGGTCTTTCAAAAATTTTATCTTTGAAAACTGCACCTTTTATCACCTGCAGTGTCCTGTCCAGTGCCTAGAACATTGTGCTCAAAGACGTGTTTGCTGAATGAATGAACAAATACATAGAACACAAGAAAGAAAATGAGCTCTTTACAGGTGCGTTTTTATCAGGGTATCAATGAGAAAAGAAAAACTTTAAATGCATATGTATTTAATGACTAGAAGACACAATCCCCTAGAAAAAGGAACTCTGCAGTCTGCCCCCAAATCAGGAACAGCTTGAAGAAAAGGGGTCCCAGGTGCACAGAGATGGCCCATAGGAAGGAAGATAAGTTATTTCCCAACAATTTATCATTTCTTCCTTGACTGTGTTTCCCAGCACACTGCAGTCGAAACCTTGCTAAAATTTTAGGTTTGTGATTCCAGATGTTTAATGAGTTTTTCAGTAGAACTACAATGGATCCTTTCTAAACACCAAATAACAGGTTCGAATGAGTTCAAACTTTCCTATCAAAAAAAGGAAAAAAAAAGTGATCTCAATTTAGAATAAATCAATTGTGGAAATCCAAAGCAAAGAAGGTTTTTTTCAGGAAGGTATGAGCAAATCAAGTAGAAATTGCTTTCGTTGTAGTTATTGGCAAATTAAACTGCCACCTTCTCCAAAGTAAAAACGGCTCTCTGTACAAACCATCAGCAAGCACAGTTCATTGACAGGCACGAGCCTTTCTACTGGGTCCCTAAAGGCTACTCTGTTGACCCCAGAAATTCCAAATGTTCAGAAGCTGCCCCAAGAAAAACCTCTGATGCTATGTGGAATGTGTCTGGTCATAGGCTCTATATATATGATCAGAGAAAAGACATTTACTCCTTGGGGAGGAAAGCAAAGACCAAAAAAATTTACTGCTAATTACACAACTGCTGTATAAAGAGTGGGGAATAAAGGACTTTAAGCGCTTTACGCTAATTCTGTGGTTATGAAAATAATTGCTCAGTTCAAATTATTTTAACTAAATTAATTCTTTAGTGGATATTTCAACCAGTGCTACATAATAAAATAATTGTGCAATTAGCAGTACATTTTTCAGTGCTGCCAAGAGAACAGTCTCAGAAGTAGTAACAGAAAAGCGTGGGTCTCCACGGAGCCCAATGCTGCCATGGAGCAAGAGATGGCTCTGATGGAGGGGAAGGTCTAAAGAGCGCAGCCCCAAAGCCCTTCCCCACGAAAATGAAACGGCCCACCCTCTTCACTCCTATCTGTCTGTTAGAGGCAAATCCACAACAAAGTCTCTTTCGGTGTTGTTTTTGAGTCTGTTTCCCCCAGAGGAGGGGGTTTCTTTAAAACTGCACCTTCATTTACTAAATTAAAACAATTTTTTAAATGTCATATAGTTTGGGATGGAACTGAAACTGTTCACTCTCCACCACGGAGCCTGTTTACTTACACACACTTGTAGGTCAGTCAGGCACCAGGAAATTTCCCATGTCCAAGTTATAGGTAGGAAAACAGGTTGAGTTACAGAAGTGAGTGAGTGGCATAGATAAGACTTGGATCCAGATATTTTGGGGGCTTCAACTGAACAAATCCACACACTATGACCCTATTCTTACCTCATCATTCTTTTGCTGGGAAAGTGCATGAGATTGAGAGAATTTGCTTTGCAGCCTCTGATACGATGGCTGAGTGAAATTAAAAAAAAAAAATTCCAGGCACCTCATAAAGTGCCTCAAGTCCTACTGGAATGAGACCCGAATACAGAGCCAGGAGTAAGCCTTGAGCACCACCAGGCGTAGCTCCCCAAATCAAAATACATAAATAAGTAAAAATTAAAAACAGAAAGACTCTTGAATAAATGACTACTTCGAAATTTTTTACTAAGTATTTTTGCATGTTCAGAAACGTGAGAAATTGTACTAATGATAATAGCAAATTGGTGAGGGCTGGATCTGACTGCCTTTGGGACAGTCTTTTCAGGATAATCATTTTCAGGAATCAAGACTGAGTAGAAAAAGAAATGGCAGTTCCAATAAAGCTAACAGGTTTTGGGGGCCAGGGAGAAAGTATAGCAGATGGGGCACTCACTTTGCAGGTGACCAACCCAGGTTCAATCCCCACACAGCATTCAAGTACCCATATGTATGGTCCCACTGCAATGCCAAGAGAGTCAGGAGCAAGCCCTGAGCACCACTGGGTATAGCCCAAATACAAAGCAAGCAAGTAAAAAAAAAAAGTTGACAGGCTTGGAACACCACCCCCCCACCACCAAAAAAAAGTCCTCTATCTAACCTGAAACACTAACAAACCAAAATTCAGACACACCAAATGCAACAAAGACAATAAGCAAACTGAGCATAACCTATATGCTCAGATTAAATCCCAGCTGCCTTAACTCACATACTTAAAAAGTATGTGAAGTACAGATGGAAGCAGTCTGTAACACTGATGCATATTAGTCTGCAATCGCTTCATGTTTAAGAGTTTGGTGTTAGCACGGCGCTAAAACTTTGATGGTAGGTGTAGTGACTCCTATATACAAATAGAAGTGCTAAACTGAGCCCTTAAATTCTATAAGGTTGTAAAGTAATGACTTTTTTTTTTAATAGTGAGACATCATGAGGTACAGTTGCAGACTTACACATTTTTGTGTTTGGGTTTCAATTATACAATGATCAAATACCCATCCTTCCACCAGTGCCCATTTCCCACCACCACAGATCCCGGTATCCCTCCCACCCCCCATCCCCCCCATCCCACCCTGTCTCTGTGGCAGGGCATTCCCCTCTGTTCTCTCTCTCCTTTTGGGTGTTGTGGTTTGCAAAAGAGACATTGAGTGGCAATCGTGTTTGGTCTATAGTCTACTTTCAGCATGCTTCTCTCATCCTGGGAGGATCCTCCCAACACCTTTATTTGGTGTTCTCCTTTTTATCTGAGCTCCCTTTTCCCCTAGTATGTGTGGTTGGCCTCCAGGTCATGGAGTAAAATTCCTGGTACTAATCTGGGCCATTCTTGGGTGTTAGTTTCCTATTTTGTTACTTTATGTTCCCCAGATGAATGCAATCTTTCTATGTCTATCCCTTTCTTTCTGAGTCATTTCGCTTAACATGATACTTTCCATGTAGTACCACTTGTATGTAAATTTCATGACTTCGTCTTTTCTAACAGCTAAAGTAATGACTTCTTAAAAAGTCATTAAAAAAACAAAACAACAGAGAACAGGGCAGGGGAGGGGGTGGGCAGAGAGAAAGAGAGAGCAAGAGAATACAAGAACAGCCACAAGTAGCAATAAAGTAGGAGTCTCAAGGGTGAGACTAGGAACCTTAACGCTATATATATTGACTGTCAATCCCTGGGCCTTGAGAAATGCATCTGGGAATGAAAAATACTAGATGGGGGTCTGGTGGGGGTCAGGGGTAGGGGTGGTAGAAGCCTGGCTCTTTGTAAGCATTCTGGCAAAACACATTAGCATGAATAGTGATCACCCCGATCAGCAACTAAACTCCAACCTACCTGGGGCCTTTGTTGCTATATAACATGGGAGACTGGAGAGGGCACATGAGACTCAGGTTTGATCTCCTATAGTGCCTGATCCTTGGAGCACTACTGGGTGTGGCACCAAAACAACACTGCTGTTACACAACATGGATAAATGTACACACCAGGGAGCAGGGCGCTAGGGTATCTGAAAGTACCCAATGCTCTCAAGCTGGAACAGATCCTATTGGCTTAGGGCAAGATTATCAGTGAGGAGCTGCAGGTAAACAAGAGGCAGACATAAGCTACAGACATATAATGTCTCTCATGAGTTCATTATGGCTGGCTGGCACTAGATATTTCAACATCCAAGTAATCAGAGACTTTCAAATAGACTTTCATCCCAGTTAAAGTTTTCAATAAATGTTTTTTTTTATTGTTATTTATAACCTGTCCTAGGAAAAAATAATAAGTATAACATGAAAAGCCAACTGAGAGTGACCCCATAGCACCAGCAGTGAGGCAGCTTAATATCACTGGGATTTGCATCCTATCAAGCTATTCATGCTGAGGCTGGGACCCTGGTGCTAATTTCTAGTAAATTTCACGCTTGATGTCTCCCTGTTGTGGGTCATTGCCGGTTCGTCTAAATAAACTGCTTCCAAATGGCTCTTCCATCTAAATATTCAGCCAGTTTTTATAATTTAATTTTGCATTATGCTGAATAGCCTTCCGGCCAGATAGAGCTCATTGGGAAAAAAAGCACCAATACCATCTTGACATGCTTTTATTTATTTATTTATATTTTTACTGCTCGAATTAGACCTCCTAGGCCGACTAGTAAAGAGTTTTTTTTTCCCTCCACTAATGTCAATTTTCAGCATAGCAAGAGCTGTCTCTAATCTTTTCCTACTCATTACACACAATTTTGGAGTCATTTTACCCACAGTGCAGTCGGCTTCTAGCTGTGTGTTTGTGTGCACTGAGGGATGGCATAATTGTTTATTTTCCCTCCCTGCATAATCCCCAGCCAGTATTGAAACCAAAACTGCAAACATCTCCCCAAGGGATATGAAATGACTCTCAGCTTAGGTCCCTTTACATGAGATAATATATAGGAAACATCCTGGCCTGTATGTAAATATGAAACTCCAAGTTCTTCTCTCCCCTACTCTCACATAGATCTCTCTTTTCCCTTAAGTGTATTTGTTTTAAGTGATGAGAAAACAAATGAATGCAACAGCACCAAAACTCAAGAAGACAGAGCTGGTCCTGGCCTCTATCAGGGCAATAATTCCTTTTTCACTTTCTTCTTTTTTTACAGGGCCTCACATATGTAAGGCAAGTGTTCTACAGTGAACTATAACCCTTACTAATGATTCATTTTTCACCAGCGGTAGGGGCAGGGAGAAATGAGGGTTGTTATTTAATGGGTTTAGACTTCATCATAGTTGATGGAAAAGTTTGAGGTACATATAGGGTAAACGTTACACAACGCTGAATGAATTTAATGTCACTGAATCGTATTTACAAATGATGAAACATTATGAAAATTTACTGCAAAAATTAATTCATTTTAAAAAACAAAACAAAAAAACTCATTTCTCAGCCTTTGAAATTTCTTGTCACAAGAACCAAGAATAACCCAAAGCAGAGCAGAGGTAGGTGGATATGAAATTTCTCAGATATTAAATTCCAGGATTCTAGTAGGACTGTTTTGGGTTCTAGGCTCTAAAAATCAGCCATGGATCCTTATAAAAAGTCAGACGTGCTACAAAAAGTCAGATAGAACTACGTTCTTCTCTCAGCTGACTTTTTTTTTTTTAAACCTGAATGATTTTTAGGAAATGTACTTAACCCAAGTCTTCAATTATATAAAACACAGCCAACAATGTAGCCAACCTTAGAGGTACTTAGGATGATTATGTAAGATAATGCATGCAAAATGATTAGCACGGTTTCTGGTGAAAAGAGTTGAATGAATTTTAATTGTTGTTGTTCACATTGTTACAGGGCTAGCAGCCAACCTGGGCCTGAGCCAAAATATGTAATGACATTAAAGCTTTTCTTACATGCAGCACACCAGAAACTTTCTAAACTCTAGTTAGGATAAAACAGCCAAGCAGGTATGTTCCTACATACTGTCAGGAAGTGTGTATTTTTAATGAGCTGTGCTTCACCTCTCCCACAAGAGATAATGAAGGAATAAGATTTAGCTCTCTCCTAAATCTTATAGACAAGAATTTTTGGATAGGGCAGGAGAATAGAGCGGGTAAGGTGATTTCCCTATGCACAGCCGATCTGGATTCAACCTCCAGCACTTTGCCAGGAGAGATGCTTGAGCAGAGTCAGAAGTAAGCCCTGAACAAAGTCAGTGTGGCCCCCCAAATAAACTTGAGATCAAGTGAAATCTGAAGGTATAACTGAACTTCACATATGAAAGAGGTTTCAATTCTCCACCCATCAAAGGCCCATCTAAATACAGTATCACATTATCTGAACACAGTGATAGCCTGTATATACTTTAGTTATTATGACCTTATTATTCTGCTCAAGATATTTTTCTTTACTTAGACAATGCCTGTTTTTTGTTTTATTTTTGGATACACCTGGTAATGATTAGGCATCACTTTTGGCTCTGTGCCCAGAGATTACTCCCAGGAAACTCTGGGGACCACATTGGGTGCTGGGAATTGAACCCGTGTCAGACATGTGCAAGCAAGCTCCCTGCCTGCTCTACTATCTCTCTGGCTCTTGTTTTTGATTTATTTTTTTAATCTTCTCTGAAGCAGCTAGCAAGTTTCCTGTACACAGGAACTCAACAAAAATGTGTAGGATTGTCTTATTTATTTTGTTTTGGTTTTATTTTTGTTCTGGCGATGTTTAGGGGTTGCTCCTTGCTGCTCAGGGGAACCATATGGGATGCTGGGTATCAAACCTAGATCAGTTGCATGCCAGACAAAAGCCCTACCCACTGTACTATCTCTGCAACCCCATGGATTGACTTGTTTACTATACACTCAATATCACATGGCATTTTCACTCATTATCTTGTCAAAAAAGAATTCACCTTGATCGCTTAAAAAAGTATACAAACATTAGTTGCTGCCAGAAGTATAAAACTGGGGGCTTGAGCAATAGTACAGTGAGTAGGTCATTTGCCTTGCATGTGGCAACTGGGGATGGATCCCTGGCATCCCATATGGTCCCCCAAGCATTGGCAGGAATAATTAATTCCTGAATGCGGAGCCAGAAGTAACCCCTGGGCTTTGCCAGATATGATCCAAAAACAAAAAACAACCAAATAAGCAAAAAATTGAAAGTTCTTATTTAAAATAAAAGGTGCTCTCCTAGTTTCCAAATAAAAGCCCTGGCTTGGGAGACAGTACTGACACTTGCTTTGAACATGGCTGACCTCATTTTGATTCTCAGCATCAGATAAGCATATGGTCTCCTGGGCACTGCCAGAAGTGACCTCTGAGCACAGAGCTAGGATTCACTCATGGGCATGGACGGGTCTGATTGCCAAAGAGCCCTGACAAACAACAACAGAAATAAAAGACCACAGAGGGTTTTTTCTAGCCAGGTATGTGCAAGGTGTTGGCAGAAGCCGTATTCTCTCTACACGAAGCCAACCATCTATAAAATGGCCTTCCTTCCCTCAGTTGGACATGCTCTTGCCCCAAGCCCTATGAAGAGCTTATTCTTTCACAGTTTATGTCTTCAGCACTCAGCACTTATTCCAGCATATCAACTCCTCTCTCCTGTCCCTATGGCCCATTCTACTACTCCAGAACCCCTAATTCTCCTGCAGCGCCTGAAGTTGCACGCATTAGCACACTCAACTCCTCCATGAATGTTGTGCCTGAACACAGACCCTCCCTCCTGTGAAAGGTGAAGTGTTGTTTCCTCTGGTTTTCCCTGAGCTGTCGACAGCGGTTCTGCACTCTTAAAAGTCTTAGGAAATGGTGAAACTGGCTGCCCAATCACTCAGCAACTCTCATAGTGCATGGAGCAGAGCCTTTACAGTAATGGCCTAATATGCTGGAGACACTGGCCCAAGGTTGTTTTTGGATAAATATAACGCATCTCAAATTACTACAAAGCACAGCCTCTGGGGCAGAGTTTGTTTGCTTTCTTCTCGTGAAGGTTAATTTCGGTATCTATCCCAAACACCACAGAATGCTATGGGGGGAACATCAACAGAGTAAGCCCCCAGAATACTTCTTTTGTTAAATACTCCCTTTCATAAATCCTGATTACACCACTACTCTCATTGAAAGGGGGATATCTTACTGCTTTTAAGAAGCACTAGAATCCTTGTTCTGGCTTCCCGAAGCAATGTTAAGCTACATCTAGGAGTGATTCTAGCACAACCACCTTTCCCTGGGGCCCTCAGAGGGATTCATCATTCACCTGTGGAAGCATCTCACCTCAAGTCACCTATAGTAACTGTGTCTAATGGCTGCTGGCATTGCTGAGCTATCGTTTATGGGAATAATGAGAACAGAAGTGGGCCTGGGAGAGAGTTCTGCATGTCCAAGATCCCAGTTTGATCCCCAGCAGTGTGTGGTCCCGAGTACCATCAGGTGTTGCCTTGGTAGTGGCACTACAGGCCAGTTCTGTATATATCTGTTAAACAGACTGAATTTTCCCTTTAAGTCAAACCTCAGGAAGCACGTCAGAGGAAGCAGAATATACTCAAAGCGTAGGGTGAGGTGGCTGTTAGGACTCCCATAGAAACTACCCAGTAGAGGGGCCCAGGGCGATGGTACAAAGGCTGAAGCTGTGTTTTACGTGTGGGAGGCCCAGGTTTGATCCCAGCCCCACATAGTCCCCAGAGCACTGAGCCTGGAGTAGCCTTGGAGCATCAGCAGGTGTAACCCCAAAACTCTCCCTCAAATTAATTGTGTCCCTCCAGTCCAGCACTAAGTCGCTCACCTTTCATTCCACCAGAGAAGCCTCTCCAGTTGGCAAAGACCATCAAAGGTAGCCCTTCACGGTTGAAGTCCTTGATAGCTTGAAATGTTTTAAATGCAGAGTCTGGGAACCAAACTTGGCCAGCCTGCTGGATTATCTATGGAGGAAGTCAAAAGAGAAAGACACAATGAACAGATTGAGGGGGAATCTCACCCAGATGAACAAGGATTTACTGATTAAAAAAAAGTACTCTAAGTCAAATTAAACGAACAAAATCAAAACCCACTACACAGAGAGATCATCTTTGAAGTTAAAAAGTTTTAACAAATACTTCTCTTTTTAAATCCTGATCATCATGTCACGACTCCAGTGGAAAGGAGGGTACCTTATTGCTTTACTTGGGTAGTTTTTGGTTTTGTTTTTAGGGCACATCAAACTGTGCTCAAGGTTTATTCTTGGCTCTGTATTCAAGGATAATCTCTGGTGAATTTAGGGAACCATAGGTGGTGCCAGGGATTGAACTCTGGTCAGCTGCATGCAAGGCAAGCGTCCTACCCACTGTACTATTGCTCCAGCCCAACCTAACTGCTTTTAGTAGATGAACAAAATCTTTGTTCTGGGCTTGCCAACGCAACATTAAGCCATGACAACACCCCTCTTCAAAAGCAGAACAACTGCAATGGTATCGAAGTCTTTTCACTTCTGTGCTTGGCCCAGCTTTCATTCATCAACAGCACACTTGACATGACATGGATGCTACTGAGTAACCTGTGTCCTGATCTCCAGCATCCCCTCTTTTAAAAAATTTTTTGGACCTTGTCAAGATACAAAACAGAAGCCACCTTTTAAAAAGGATGGGTTGCAGTGTTCAGACTGGGGAAGGGAAGAAGACTTCCTTATCAGTTTCATGTGTGTGCTCAGAAAATCTTCAAGTAAAGTAGCCCTCAGCACAGTCTTAACTGCCTTTCTGAAGCCCACCTCCCTGCCAAAGTCAGCTGCTTTCTGCTTTTTCATGTCGATAAAACCACCAACTCCCTATTCAATTCTTTCAGGCAGAAGTTAGCTTGTGGTCCACTTAGAGCTGTTTTAAAAGTGAGCACAGAATGGTCTAAAATCCTTTGGAGCTGCCAGCTGCTCACCCCCTCTAAAATGGGTGGTCTGCAAAGTGGTTGGTTTATAAGGTATTCCCAGGCCCTGCAGAAGAGAGAGACAGCCCCGAGCAGTGACACACAGGGGACCTGAGGTGATCTACCTTTGCTTCAGAATCCAGGTTTGCAGGATCAGCAGGAATACTGAGCTCCACAGTTCGGGTTTCTACAGCAACTACTCCCACAGGTATTCCTCCTAACCTGATTTTAAAAAAGAACACAAAAGTCACATAAGAACCCAAAGTATGTCAACTTGGAGCAAGTCATTTCTTTTCCAGGCCCATATCAAAACAGTGGGGTCTGAGAGTGAAGAATATGACTCTTCTGGGGGTAACATGTGAGTCTATTGGGCTGACAAAAACAAAGATCATAGAACTTTGTAAATACGGTGGGAAATAACCCTCTCTACCATAAGGTAAGTCCAAATGAAGAGGAACCTCTATATTCAGACCCAATAACCTTGCATGCAGGTATGCATATTCCCAACTCTGTGGCCGCCATATAAAATTTCTCAGTTCTCTCCAGAGCCATCACATTAGTGACTTCAGTGATGATGGAAGGAAATGTTCTGAACAGCAGCCGAAGCCTGAAACCTATAGTAACTGTGTCTCATAGCTGCTGGTGTTGCTGGAACAGAGCTATAGTTTATGGAGATAATAAGAAATAGAAGCGGGCCTGGGAGATAGTTCTGCATGTCCAAGATCCCAGTTTGATCCCCAGCAGTGTGTGGTCCCGAGTACCATCAGGTGTTGCCTTGGTAGTGGCACTACAGGCCAGAGCAAGGCACATTCTTGGGCCCTGGCATTGAATCATACAGCCCAGTAGGCCAAGTGTCATGGGGAGTGGTCCCTGGACTCCCTTAATAGTGCAGGGGCCATCCACCCTCCCCTCGGCCCCAATGGGACAAAAATAGGAAAGTGGTTGAACAATTCCTTAGCAATCTCTTTCACTGAAAAATATCAAAGGGACAAGAATAAGTTGTAATAATAATTCTGGTTTACAATGGAAGTATATCTCCAACCTACTGTCACTGTTACTGTCCTCCTGTTGTTCATCGATTTGCTCAAGTGGGCCCAATAACGTCTCCATTGTGAGACTTGTTGTTACTGTTTTTGGCATATCGAATATGTCATGGGTAGCTTGCCAGGCTGTGCTGTGCGGGCAAGATACACTCAGTGGCTTGCTGGGTTCTCTGAGAGGGGCAGAGGAATAGAACCCAGGCTGGTCGGGTTGGCTGTGCCCTAGGTCGGGTAGGCAAACGCCCTACCACTGTGCTATCGCTCTAACTTACACAAATTAAAAAAATGTTCAGGAGCTCAAAGCTTCCACACTGTACTCCCTGTGGTCCCATGTTAGTCCTAATAAGGATGTCCTAAAAACACCAGAAAAGAGGGACAGAGAAGAGAGAGAGGAGAAAGGTTGGAGAGAATGGAGGAACGAGAGGAAGAGGGAGGGCAACAGAGACAGAGACAGGCAATATAAAGGGTTTGACCTTATTCTGGAAAATACGATTTAATCTTCACTTTCTCAGCCAAATTAGTTAGGGTTGGGCTGGGATGGGCTACAGTCTTGCATTCCCCATAGTATCTCCATAACAAACTTTTCCATGAAGAAAGGTCTTGGGCTGTTAGATTGGCTACTGGAAATGGAGGCCCGAGAGGGTCTGAGTGGGGACCACCCACCCCTTTGTCACTTGCCTGCATTGAATCAGAATCAAAAGCCCTCTAGACAACCAGACAACGAGCAGGAGGTACACAGGAGGGTTCAGAAATATTTCTGTTCACAATGATTAACAATCCAGCTGGAAACTTGTAATTGCAAAAGCCACCCTAAATCGGTAACTTATAACTTATATATTAGGGCCCATGTGACCTAATAAAGAACATCTTTATCCGAGTATTACAGTTATTTATTGAACTTGAAAACAGCTCAGAACAACTTCTGTTTTCTATTATACTTCATATAAATTTTATCAGGCTAGCACATGAAGATGCTACATCTTGTTTTATAGTGTGTCCCTGGACAAGGTGCCATGGAATAATAAAAGACAATTTACAGCCAATAGCACACATATTCCAAACATACATACCAAAGATGAGTTTTGGCAGCACTTACAGTAACAATCCCAGAAGAATACATTTATATTTATTTCTCGAAGTGCCACTGCTTTTGAAAGAAGGTAGCTCCATTTGTGTTTTATATACTGGTAAGCATGTGTATGTGTTTGGAGTAAGAAGCCCAGAACTCATCAGATGAAAAGAAAGGAAGAAGTCAGTGAGTGTTACAACAAACAATGGCAGAGCTAACCAAAGCCAAGCTTGACTGATCTTGGTCACAGAACAATCTCTATGATCTTGGTCACAGAAAAATCTCTATTCTTCCAGTTTTAAGTGTAACAAATTACTTTCTTGTTTCCCCATGGGAGGATCTTAAAGATCTAAACAAAGGTTTGGGATTTTGGAGGCTTAAAATCTATACGTGCATTTCGCTTAACATGATACTTTACAGGAATGCCCTGCCACAGAGGCAGGGTGGGATGAGGGGGATGGGGGGTGGGAGGGATACTGGGATCCGTGGTAGTGGGAAATGGGCACTGGTGGAGGGATGGGTGTTTGATCATTGTATAATTGAAACCCAAGCACAAAAATTTGTAAGTCTACAACTGTACCTCATGGTGTCTCACTAATAAAAATTAAAAAATTAAAAAAAAACTATACGTGTATGTGCGAATATGAGTATGTGCATGCGCGCACCTGTGTTTGTGTGTGTGTGTGTGTGTTTGTGTCTGTGTGTTTCAAAAGAAAAAATACTTAAGCAGGATGACAAATTCTCAAAATAGTTGGTTCTAGAATGACTGGAGGCCTGTATGTAATAAAGCCATAGACCCTCTGGTGAGAGGGCTCACTTTCACCAGAGTATCCCCATCCCTCCACCCAGTGAGAACTTGATTAGACCGAACAATAACTGTCATGGGGACCTGGTAGCTGTTGGTGAGGCAATGTTTGTCTGGGATCACTCTAGTCTGGACTCCCGTCCAGAGTCTTGGCGGCAGATCTCATCTGTGGGCCTGACCATCTGATGGATCCCCACCACTGGCTGTACGAGGCATGCTGACCCGCGGTAGGCAGAGAACCACAAAGCCCAGAATTATTTTCAAAGCCAGAATCTAAATCTCAACCCAACGTGGCATGTTTGAGAATCTCGAGCAGGTGCCACTTTTCACCAAGATAAGGAAAACTGATTGCCCCCGAGAGGAAGGTGAGCTCCAGATGTGGGTCCCTGGGGCAGCCCGTCTCTGCAGCGCAGAGCGAGATTAAGATCAGCGTTGGCAGGTGCTCGTTATAGGGAGCGCTACAGATTATTTCGTGCAGAGCTGGCTGTTGAGTGAAGCACTTCTTAGAGAGGGTATTAAAATTTAATAGAAACTTCAATTTCCCACTTGAAAAATACAGGTATCCAGGCAACCTATTCTAGCTTCTTTTACTCACTCCTGTTTCAGGTCAACCTTTCCTCCCCCAATTCAAATCTGATGATAAACCAATATAGTGCATTTGTGACCAAGTAATCTGGATGCCACAAAGGAAGGAACTTCTCTCAGGACACAGAGAGAGCTGGTGACTATGAGTCGCTTGTTCCTCTACTCCTGGAAAGAAACGGTCTTTTCAGTGAGGTGGGGGTAGGGTCACTGGTGGGCTATGATGATTGGAGTTGGGCTTTACAGCCCCCGAAGAGCTTTTCTTTCAGCATTATAAAAAAAGAAATGTTATCAAGCCCAGACTTCAGACTCAATGCATCAGTGGAGTCACACACTGAACAAAAACTGGGAACCAGCGCTGCAGTTATGCTGCCTTAGGCACGACTGATCCAATAAGCTACACAGTTTCCACCAAGAGAGCAGTACTGGTAGGAACCTGGACAGCCATGGCCCTTCTTCTCCTTGTTTTCGGTTGGGCAAGAAAAGAGCTTTCAAAACAAAAAAACGCTTACCTGGCTCTGCCCACTACCACGGTCTGGGCCCAGGGTTGCATGATCTCTGAGAAAGAGCCGTAGTCAAAAAATCCACTCAGCCACTGACCTTTCTGAGCTATAGAAGAAGAAAGAAAACGAAGAGTATGAAGACAGTCAATCCACTGAAAATGCATTGGCACAGACAAATCTGAGGTTGCATTTGGAGGATTATTTTGGGGTGGTAGTGGGGGGAGTTTGTTGGTTTTAACCATATTATAATAGATGGAAGCATTAGGCAGCTGAATGTTCATCCGCCTTCAGACATCACCCCCTATTTCATTTGCTAGCCTGTATGAGAAGAATCATTTATCAGCAAAAGCATCATTTATTGTTAAACGATGGGGTTCAGCTAGCAGAGAGAGCTTGCATGCTTTTAAATAAATAACTTGGCTTTTTTTTTTCAGAACAACACAAACATTTGTCAAAAGGCAGCCAAGTCATTAAAGATGTTTTCAAAATGTCTATTTCTATTTTAAGACTTAGCTTACAATTTTGCTTGATTCCCTGATTTCCTTTCAATGGAAAGTTGAAGACAAATGGTAAATATTAATGATTAGAAGAGAGCCAAGTTTGAAGAAAAGGGTCTCAGCATCTCTACTAGAAAAGCAACAAACCAGATCTACTTTACTTGAAGCACAGAAAGTATTTTCTGGGCCCAGAGTGATAGTACAGTGGGTAGGGCATTTGCCTTGCATGTGGCTGACCTGGGCTTAATGTCTAGCATCCCATATGGTCCCGAGTGCTGCTAGGAGTGATTCCTGAATGCAGAGTCAGGAGTAAGCCCTGAGCATGGCCAGATGTGGCCCCAAAACAACAATAAAACAACAACAAAAAAGTATATTCTTTCTACAAGAAGGGGCCAGGCCCAGATATTCTCTATAGAGAGTGAAAAATGTAACAGTTGAAATGCAGACACTTAATTATTATTAACTTTTTTCACACACAGAATTTCCTTCACTGGCAAGAGTGTGAAGGAAATTCTCCAACATCTAAGTTTAAGGAATAAAGCACTTCTATTCACAGGCATCCATGTTTGACCAAGGCACCACAAAAGCTTCTGCAAACAACTGTTTCCTAGCTCTGCCCTCTCAGCTCATGGTTTCTCAGGGATTCTTCTAATTTGAACATGGGCCCTCCGCCCCCTAAAAGTCCAAGTCCAAAACCAATTAAAAGTGGAGATCCGAGCAAGCTAACCTTTGCTGACTTAAACAAGATGGAGAGTGTTTTATCAAGACTAAACTTGTAATTACTGTGTTCTACATTCCCTGCCTCTATGGCCCCAGTGTAAAATGTGATCATCCGTTTCAAAATTATCTCTCTATCGTGAACTCAAAGCCGATCGTTTAGATTCTGGTCTCGTGTTGGGCGTCAGTTTGAAGAATATCACAGCACTATCTCCTTTAATAAATGACTTTAACTTTTCACCTAGAAGATATCTGCTTTAACTTATCACAGGGAATCATCTGCTTTCTTTAACGCTCCCACTAAATTAAAATCTGAAGTCACTCGATTTGGGAGCGAGTGTTAGCTACACATAGACAGCAGGATGAATTGCTAGGGAGTCGATGAAAAAATATTATCCCAAAACAGAAAACTTAGTTTATCACAATTTCATTTTATTTAGCGGATCTCATTAATAATGGCCAGGATAATACCCACCTACACAGAGAGATCAGCTCACTCCATAAAGAGGGCTCAAATTTTGATGAAGGGACCAAACCAAACTGCTTGAGTACATCAGGATTTTGAAATCTTAACTTTATTCTTACTTCAAAAACAATGATTTTGGGGCTTGAGAATTCATTTCAAACTGGAAATATATTCTTCTTTCAAAATCTTCTTGCCTTCCTTTCACTGCATGTGGTGGGTCAGGGTTAGATCCCTGGCACCCCATACAGTCCCTCTAGCACCCCTAGATCCCTCAGCAGAGTCAGGAGTAAGCCCAGAGCTGTCTCATCTGTTGACTGAAAGTGGGAAGCCACTGATCAGTATGGCTATGTGTTTTTTTGTTTTGAATTTTTAAAGTTTTATTTAGTCATTAAGTTACAAAGGTATTTAGGATTGAATTTCAGAAATATAATGCATCAACACCAGTCCCTTCACCAGTGTCCATAAGTGGGTTTCTACCCAAAAAAGCAGAACACGTTCAGTTCAGATAGAGAAGTTAGAAATCAGTTAATATGACTCTCCATATTTTTAAGGAAAACTGAGTTTTTAAAAAAAAATTCTCCCCAGTAATTCTGGATTTGAGGACTAGCTAGTACTTTACACTCATAGCTCTAAATCATAATTGTGGTACAGAAATGAGTGATATGGAGAAGATGACTATGGTGATTTTTATGTTTACATAAGAAAAACTACTTTGTATTATTAAGATTAACAAGAAGGGCTTGAGAGATAGTACAGCAATGTACAGTGGGTAGGGTGCTTGCCTTGCAAGTAGCCAATTGGGTTCAATCTTCAGCACCCCATATAATCCCCCAAGCACTGCCAGGAGTAATTCCTGAGTACAAAGCCAGGAATAAGCGCTGAGAACTGCTGAGTGTGGCCCACAAACAAACAAATAAACAAACACACACCACCACCACCAAGAAATGATTAACAAGAAAGGGCACTAAAGATGGCAGGTAAAAATTTAAATGAAAATCAAATCTATTGGAGTTAAGATTTTTATACTATCAACAGTTTTGCTTCAGACTAATCACAGCTCTTAAGAGCTGTGTGACCTTGCACAAATCACTTAACTTCTCTGAGTTGTCACACAGTACTTTCTTTGCATTAGGAGAGGTAGTAAGCCCATAAAGAACAATGTATCTGACATGCTTTATAGTCCCACATGGTTCAGAGTGGGTGCCACAAAGGTTTATTAAGAATTCCTTATGAAATTTCTTTGTTTTACGGTCAGACTCAATAGCACTCAGGGGTCTGGCTCTGCTCTCAGTAATCACCGCTGGCAGTACTGGAGATCAGACTCAGGTTGGCCACAGTGCCCTCCCTACTGTACTATCTCTCTGGCCTCCTTATGAAGGATCATAAAACCGTTATTAATGAAGGTTTATTAATAAACAAAGGTTTATTAGTAATTCTGCATGAATAGGAGCTCTCTCTCTTCTCTCAATGTAGGAGCACTGTTATTTATTCAGCTGATTGAATTGGGCATGAACTCCATAAGAAGAGCTTTCTTCAGGGACCGGAGCAATAGTACATTGGGTACAATGTTTGCTTTGCATGTGGCCCACCTGGAATTCTATCCCTGGAATCCATATGGTCCCCGAGCACTGCCAGGAGTAATTCCTAAATGCATGCAACCAGCGGGGATCATACGGGGCCTTTGTGGGCACAAATAAGCCACAAGTAACCCCTGAGCATCGTTGGTATGACCAAAAAGCCAAAAAGAGTTCTCTTTCAATAAAATCTCAATGACTAAAATTTAGTAACTCACCTTCCACATTCCATTTGTTTAGCTAGTCTGCCTTTGAAACAGTTGTATTACAAGTGGTACAATATGGAAAGTATCATGCTAAGCGAAATGAGTCAGAAAGAGAGGGATAGACATAGAAAGATTGCATTCATCTGGGGGATATAAAGTAACAAAGTATGAGATTAATACCCAAGAATAGCTGAGATCAGCACCAGGAGGATTACTCCATAACTTAGAGGCCAGCCGGGTATCCTAGAGGAAAGGGCTGTTCAGATAGAGAAGGGAGCACCAAATAAAGGATGTTTGGAGGATCCTCCCAGGAGGGGAGATGCATGTCGAAAGTAGACTATGGACTGAACATGTTTGCCACTCAATGCCTCTTTTGCAGACCACAACACCCAAAAGGAGAGAGAGAACACAGGGGATTTCCCTGCCACAGAGACAGGGGGGATGGGGGGATGGGGGTGGGAGGGATATTATCCATGGTGGTGGAAAATGGGCACTGGTGGAGGGATGGGTATCTGATCATTGTATAATTGAAACCAAAGCACAAAAAATTGTAAATTTACAACTTTAAAAAAAATAAAATAAAATAAAGGGAAAAAAAAAAAAAAAAGAAACAGTTGTATTACACACACACACACACACACACACACAAACCAAGTTCTTCCTCAATGTAAAAACAAAAAAACCAGATTAAAAAAATATTTAAAAAATCTAGCACGTGGATTTGAGCTTCACAAAATAATTTCCTGGTGAGGAAGCTTTGCTAAAGTAGTGAAATGAATTAACAAATGAGAATGTACATTTGCCCAACATGGACTTGTCTCTCTTTTAAGTTGGGAAAAATCAACCTCATGATAGAGGTCTGGTCCTTCACTTCTAAGCTTCTGTAACTTATGTTTAACAGTTTTAGTTTCTGAATCCATTAAATAAGAAATACTCTATTTAACAAAATAAACACAAGAAGAGCATGTGTGACGACTGATTTTTAAATCTCATTTCACTTATTTTTCACTTGCTCATGAAGGGTTTTCCACCTTCTTTTCTTCAGGGAACTCCCCACCCCCCCACTCCTAAGATTTCTCTCATCCCAATTTACTTAGCTCTGCTTCATTTGTCGCAGACTATTTTGTAGAAATTGGTGAGAGACTGAAAGGAAGACTGAAACCTTGAGGGTCAGGGCACAGAGAATCTTCAGACAGAACGTACTTGGGTGAGGACGACCTGCTAGCATCCAGCGGGGATCATACGGGGCCTTTGTGGGCACAAATTCGATGATTCTATCAATTGGATCCTTGGAGTTCAGGAGAGGAACGGAACTGTGAACACTCTAGAGACAGAGACAGACAGGGAGAGAGCACAGCACTCAGTGAACAACTGGCACCTCTGACAATTTAGCAACCATTATGGCCAAGATGCCAGGGTAAGGACTGAGACCCATTTGTCCTGGTCATTGGCCAGAAACATCCAATCCCATGCCTGGCCTGAGGGTCATGTACAAGTCCTCTTGGCATGTCCTGAAGCCTGGCACAAAGCTGTGCACTGACTCGGACTCTTGATTTCAGTGTCCAAGTTTTCTGGAAAAACCCCCACTGGGACAGATGGCAATCACAGAGGAGCAAAACCCAACGAGAAGGAAGCCTAACCATACCAGGATCTGAGCCCAGAGAGTGCATGAAGATTTCCATGGCTGGAACACCAGCCAAGGGGCCCAATCAATGGAATTCACAGGCACCTGAAAGGCTTTAAGGAAAAAGGAAATTGGACAGGAAATGTGTAAACTCAAAAAGAGCACAGCAGCGGCAGCGGTCTATCTGTCCGTCGCCAGCATTCAGTAGTCTGAGGTGGCTTCCTCCACCCTGGGGAGAGAGGTGGCGATGGGCAGGCAAAGGAAGGAAATGAGGGCCAGGCTGGTTGGTCTTAGTTGCAGTTTATTCCAATCCTCTCTCCATTCATTCCTGTCTCTCTCCTCTGCCTCCTCCTCTGCTTCTTCCTCCCCCATGCTACTTCATTCTCCTCCTCGATCTCCCTTCATTCTCTTTCTGGCTCTGGAATCTGGATACTGACTTCTGATCTCCCAGCCCACTCTTACAGTCTAGTTAAATCCCAAAGCATGAGGGGTTGGGGTAACAATTATACATAGGTGCGATCACAATCAATAGGGGTAGAATTCTTTCCCGCGGGGACATACGCTCCTAGGACAGATCCTCATTATCAGATCAATCCACCCTAGAGCGGATTCCCCCGGGAGTGTGTTTCTCCTCTCCTTGTCTAACAAACATATAAGAAGGCATAATAGAAATCATTTTGTATGAATACAGTAAGAAAGACCTTAAACTTATAGAATTGCCCTCCTAAGGCCATCTCGATCTCAGACTATAGTGCTCAGGTCAGACAGTCTTTCCTAACCCTAGCAGGGTCCTCGTCTCGTCGTTACTTTTGGATCATGACAGCATTTGTCTATGATCAAACTCTTAACTTATAGTTAAGAATCGTGGCACTTTGGCCTGGCCCATTTCGATGCCAGGGTAGCTCACCGCTTGCCTTGGGTCCATTTAGTCTCTAGTCGGGACCCTGCTTTTGGGGTGTTAGGAACTAAGGGCAACTGAGGCTTAAGTCGAGAAAGCAGATGCCCGGGAGTGAATAATATTCAAAGCCAATTAAATCCCAAGTTACAAAGTATAATGTTAACAGTCTTCCTGTATCTATACAAAAAGGGCATTGCTTTAAAGTAAACTAATTCAAAAGACATAAGGAGAGGAGAAAGGCATACATATAAAATCACAGATTTCTGAGGAATCTAACCTTACAAGTTAACAGAGTCTGATTAGGGGGAAAAGCTGATTAACTGGTTGGGGGGGAAAGCATAGGGAAGAATTTACAGATAAACACAATGGAATGGAAGTGCCTCAGGAGCACTGTAATAAACCTGAGTTCCTCTTGGCAAGGGGGGAAGGGCAACCAATGTTAAGCCTAAAATATTTGGAGCTATATTCCAACAAGGAAAGACAGCTCAATGGCTGGAGCACATGCTTTGCATGTGAAATGCCAGAGCTCAATCCTCAGCACTGCACGGAGTCCCCTGGGTCTTACCAGAAGTGATTCCTGAGCACAGAGCCAGGAGTAAGCCTTGAGTATTGCTGAGTGTATTCTCAAAAATAAAATCAAACATGCTTCAAGGCCAGAGTGATAGTACAGTGGGTAGGGTGCTAGTCTTGCATGTAGCTGACCTGGAACCACATATGGTCCCTTTGAGTCGAGCCAGGAGTTATCCCTGTGCACAGAGCCAGGAATAAGACCAAAGTGCTGCTGGGGTGGGACTCAAAAGCAAACAAATAGCCCCCTTCCCCAAATACACCTGCAACAAAACAAAACAAAACATGTCCCCATGAGAACTGAAGAGCTGAACATAAGCTTTGCATGCAGGAGGCCAAGGTTCAAACCCCAGCACTATCAGGAATGATCCCTAGGCAGTGAGTTGGGAATAGTCCCTGGGAATCAATGGGTGTGGTCCACTCCTCAACCGCACCCACCAAAGAAAGGAAATGCCAAGTGCAGAGGCAGTGAGTGATGGGCTCTGTCAGTGCTGGGTCGAGGGCTCACCTTAGGCATGTAAGACAGCCAGTGCAGGATCGTGAACACCCCCTCAAAGTCGTCACAGACGGTGCTGTGGGTGACGCCGTTGTTGTGCATGATCTGGATGCCCCCGAGCTGGTTATTGGAGGTATATACCTCCCGCCCAAGAACCTAGGAAGACAAGCAAGAGGAAAGATGTGCACTCGGGCAGGAAGAAAGGCAAAACACCCTTCGCGGTTCTTGTGAAAATGGCTCTTAAATCCACAAGACAGTCTCTCTAGGCTGCTGTGGAAGGGGGTGCAGAGAGGGGGCGCCATGGACCTTCATCCTGAAAAAGAAAACTGCAGACAGACTTAGCCATCACAGATACTGCTGTAATTTAAAAACCAGCAACTCACCCTCACCCTCAACCACACAGATATTAGAGGCATCCTGAGACCCTGAGTTGAAACTGCCAGGGAAGGTGAAGCCTGGCATCCTGAGACCCAGGCGACTTCAACATCCCAAGCCTAGCAAAGCTGCTGTGCCAGAGGGGATGCGTCCATTGTTTGACAATCTTTAGCTGACAAGTCACAGTTAAAGAAGTATGGTGAGGTTTGCCTTTCTCCTTCACCTTTGGTTTTGAAAGCTGTTCCTCACACATAGCACTAAGCTGGTAAAACCCTGAAGCAACATGTGAGCCTTTGATGCTCTTTGTGTGTTGGGTGCAGGGCAGTGGTTTACATCCAAGCTGTCTCTCCTCCATTCTTCTCTCCCAGGGTCTTAGGAAATTTGGGGCCCTGGTTGCCAATGGATCCCTGCAAGAGTGTAACCCTTGTGAGGTCCAAGTGCACCTGGCACTGGAAACCACCACGTTTCCTTTAAAAGAGAGGAGGGGAAATATTCTTGCACTTAGAAATTGTAGGCTTTCTTTTTCCCTTGAAGATTGGTTAATAATTTCTTCTAGGGAGGGAGGTTTTCTGACCCAGCAGATGGAAGTCGGGCGGCCTGATCACTGACTATTGCAAACTGCTGAGTGTGTAGTAATTGCCAGTCATCTGGGGGAGCCCTGGAGAGCTCTAAACAGTTGTAGCGCGCTTACTGTATTGTACCTTTCCTTTTCCCCTCCCTGCCTCCTTTCGAAAATAACTACTACACAAAATTTTTTCCTTACTAACTTTTATTTACTTCCAGTCTCTGGGGAGAAGCTAATAAATGAAAGAGCAGTGAATTCTGCCTCTTTACTCCCATTTTGCTCCTTCCTGTTAGGCATTTTAAAGTTCCTGAGCTCTGGGTCAGGCCTGCGCATCAAGACCCCCCAAAGACTGAGGAACCTGGTGACCAAAGGGATGGCCTCCATGTGACCCACCTGGCCTCAGTTCCATTTAACTTCAACCAGAATTGGTGGAAGAGACTCCATGGAAAGAAACAGGAAAAGTAAAACGAAATAAAAAATAAAAGTCAGGCAGTGCACAGAGTGGGTCTTCGTGGGTAGCTCCGAGCTGGAGGCGCCCCTGGAATGGGGCAGACCCGAGGAGAGCCCAGCTGACACGGGCCTCCCCTCCTCCGAGCAGGCGACTATAATCTCAGCCCAGGCACCGCGGCTCTTTTCTCATTCTCCTGCTGTCTCTTTCCATTTGCCCTCTCTCTGACTGATACACTGATCTCTCGGTCACTCGGCTTTCTGCTCCACTGCGTCCATATTACTAATAACACCTCCGCCACGGCCAGTTTACCTCATGAAGGCAGGAGCACATCATTACAAAATAAACTCATAACTTTGACATTCTAGCAAATACACGCCGTTTGTTATTTTTATGGCTTTAGTCTTTCTAACAGGCAGAGGGCATTACATACCTGTTTCATTTATATCTTTAAGTGTGCGCACACATGCACACGCACACATGCATCAGGAAACAAAACAGAACAAAACACCCACCCACAACAAATACCCAAGGAGTCAGCTGGTGGGGGACCTGGGCGGAGGCAGGACCCGTCACTCATGCTCTGATCTGACTCCGGTTTTATGGGCATCATAAACCCGATGGCCCACAACTGGTCCTTCTGGGACAGCATCCCTCTCTGCCAGAAGTCATTCAGTGTGATCAGCAGTATTTTTAATTATTAAAATAAAATTGGAAAGGGGGAAAAGAAATAAAAAGGAGACACTGTGTTAACCCTGAATATATGATACTCTTGATCTATGCCAGGAGCCAAGAATCCTTTGCTGCCTCAAAGAGAGCGAGCTGCGGACATCCTTGTACTCATAAACACATTTTTTTTTCCATCTATGAAATACTGTCTCTAGGATTTGATAAATGTTCAACCAGTTAGAATCTCACACCTCTCCAAAATTAGTCATCGACCAATCTTGGACAAAAGGGTGATGTAGACCAAGAACTGCTTGGCTGTTCAAATACACCTGCACCCGGCACTCTGCCTGCTCATCAAAGAAGCAAAGACACCCCCACCCCCTGCCCCTTCCCCTGCAACCAGATTCTGCCCAGAGGACCCGCCACTTGCCCTTTCATTCCATACTCCTCCAAACCAGTAAGACGTGAATTTGGAAGAAGCAAGAGCTGAATAACTTAGCATGTCCTGACTGTACAAGCAGAGACCCGGGTTCTGATGCTGTGGCATTGTTCTGAGAAGGCTACAGAGCAACATTTCTGGCTCATCTCCTCTGGGTTCCAAAAGAAACTTAGCCAGGACTTACCACAACCAAGAATATTACTTTTGGGCTGAAGAGGCATTTGCCCCAGGAAAAGGGTGCCTAAGTTTGGAAATTCAAGAAGAAAAGAAACTGTAAGACAAAGTAACAGCATCCAAAGATCTCTCTCTCTCGTCAGCCCTAGTTAGGAGGCGGGGGAGGGGGTGGGATGTACATAGAAATGAAACCTGCTTCACTAACCACAAACAAATGCTAACAATCGCAGCTACTTAACAATTGGCGATGAAGAGAAAGCAGTCCCCTTCAGTTCATCTTCAACGACTGTATGTTTGGAGCAGGCACCAGCAGAAGGAGGGCACACACAATGGCTCCTGATTTATAGGGGTTGTTGCTGACTCAAGTGGTTTTAATGATTTTAGAATACTTCACAACAAAAGCTCTGACTGAGGAAGCAGAAACTGGCCTAGGCCAAAAATCCATTCTGCCTAGCTCTGAAAGAAAGGCTCAAACTGCTACAGTCATGCAAGCCCTGACCAGCAGCTAGGAAAGCCAAGGGGAAACCTTCCCCCTAGGAAGAACCCCAATGGCAGCTTTCAATGTTGCCCTGTTAGCCTTCTCCAGAAACCACCCTGTTCAGCAATTTCATGAAGCAGGTGAGCTTCATTCATCAGTCATCAGTTTTCCAATGTGTACAAATGCACTTATAGGTAAGCCTTTTGCTGTGTTCTATTTCCCAAATTATTCTTTTCCCAGTTCCTACCTCACATTACAAACTTTCCATTCATCCTCCCAATAAGCACCAGTAATTATTTAGACCAGGGAGCTCTTTAAGCAAAGGTGACTTTCCTGAGGCCCCATTTAGCTGCAACCTTGCTTTTAGAGGAGAAGTAGTATCACAAAATACTGGGAACAAGCACCATCTTGGGGCTTCTGCTGAAGAGTGGCCAGGCCAACACAATCGACAGTGGGCTGCACCTGAAAGAGGAACTTCATCTACTCGCTCTATAAACTCTCTAAGTGTCACCCAGCTCTTCATTCAGTGCAAGCTGGTAGACCTGAGAATTAAGGGCACTGTTTAAAAGCCGGTGATTAGCAGAGACACACAGCTTTAGAAATTTTGAGATACAGAAGAAGTACAAATGAAAGCAATCATACATACATGCTAACGCCTCTGCTGCTGTTGCCGCTTATCTAGAGACACTGCAGACAGCTCAGGTTTACCATAGCTGACAGGCAATGAAAACAGTCTAATATACCGCCTGCGCTCTCTCTTAAATCCCTTTTTGGAGATCAAGATAAACACGTTCTTCCTTTCCCCAGTGCTCCAGACGCTTGACTGAAGTGGTGGAGCATTGTGAGGTTTTGTGCAAATGAAATCACCATGTAATACTGAAAGAGTGTAGTATTTACTTGTCAGGATATTTGTCAGCATGGGCACTGAGATTTCAAGTTTCATGGATGCAACTTAGCTAAATTTTTATAAAATTGCTTTTGTCCTGGTATACACATTATGGTGGGGACCCTCAGACTCATAGGCAAATATCTGCAGTCCTGTGCTGAAGATGTGAAAAATAATGATGCATATCAATAGAATAAAAAATGAAATCTACTGCTGCTCTCCCTCTTATTCAGTCTTTCCCTCTTCAAAGAATTGGAGGTGGGGCAGGGCGATCTTCTAATTAAGAAGCAAAGAGCATGAAAATCCTCCTGCATCTAACTACATCAGTGGAGTCCTTGCTGTAGTTCTCTTGCTTATTAGGATATTTCCATTCTAAAGAGGATCTGAGGAGGGACTTTGTCAACTTCTGATCTGTCACTGTCAATGGCCTTTATCCATAATGCTAGATTTTAAAATCCCTCTGAGGGGCCATGGTGACAGGTCTGCTTTGCATGTGCTGGGATCTGAGTTTGAGTTCCAGCACCACATGGCTCCCTGAGCACTGCCAGGCCCTAATAGCATGGCATCCTTGGACTGAGCATTGGACTATCTGGCCCAATTGACCAAGTATCACAGAGAGGGGCCTGAGAACCTCCTGAGTACTGCTTAAGAGGCCCTCCTCTATACATGGAGAGTATAATGCTAAGTGAAATGAGTCAGAAAGAGAGATAGAAGGACTGCACTCATTCGTGGAGTATAAAACAACATAACATGAGGCTGACACCTAAGGACAGTACATACACAGGACAGACAGATTGCTCCATAGCTGGAAGCCTGCCTCTTGAGCAAAGGGGAGAAGGCAGCTGGAATAGAGAAGGGATCACTAAGAAAAAGATGGCTGGAGGAATCGGTTGGGATGGAAGATGTGTGCAGAAAGTGGATAAAGGACCAAACATGATAACCTCTCAGGGTCTGTATTGCAAACCATAACGTCCAAAAGTATAGGGAGATTATGGGGAAAAATGTCTGCCATGGAGGCAAAGGGAGGGTGGGAAAGGGGGGGTATACTGGGGATATTGGTGGTGGGGAATGTGCACTGGTGGAGGGATGGGTGCTTTATTATTGTGTGATTGTAACCCAAAC